CGCTTGACTTTCGATCGAATTCTCTTCGCAGCTGAGACCATTCGAACGTTATAGAATTTTATAATATTATTTTCTGCGTACACGTTACCTCGAGGTACAAAAGTATTTTAAGGGGACTATTCTGTGCGGTTACTTCATATTAATCGAGAATGTATATTCTCAATATTCACGTCTTCGAGCTGTAATTTTAATTAACTTTTCGATAGACCCCGCCTTTGTCTTGATATTGATTTACGTCGGTTTGTTTAGCAACAGTCGCCCACAAATTTTCCGTGGGCTTTGTGTCGAAACTGTTTCCAAGCCATGAAAGAACATTTACATCGAACGATGTTAATTAACGAGTCATCTTTGATCGTGAAACTTCCGCAGAATCGAGCAACGGTCTCGTAATGAACGCCGATGTACGGGTCGGCTCTTAAACCGCGGTACGAGCGGTAATAGAATTATTTTATATGCGAAATTTATTAATAACGGGATAAAGTAACGGAAGAATGTACGAATTTAAAAACTTTTACGAGCAAAGAAGTCCCTTTAGAAAAAAAATTAAAAGAACCTCGACGGTTAAGTTCGCGCGATAATTAGTAAAATGTCTAACCGCTGAAAGTTTCTCGAATTACACCAGTGACCGTATTATTATAATTTGATCGCGTATCCGCGTGAATCGCTAGAAGTCTCGTTTCGGCGAAAATATCGCGTGGGGCTCGAGCATTTACCGTTCGCGATGACTCGCGTGCAACGGCTCTGCCGGGTTTTCTAATTCTCGGTCGGAGCCTAATTAACGAGTCTAAGTAACGCGTGTAATTAAAGGGAGGGCAATACATTTGCCAGGCGGCGGTATCGCGAAGAAACGACAGGAAAACTAGCTGCTGCCACCTCTTAATGGCCCCTCCTCGCGTGCTCTCTCGTGGGATACGCGTTCGCGAGAGTGTGCGAACGTCACAAACCGTGAACACGGCCTGGATTATACAGGCTGTCCCAAAACGATCGGACATAGTCGACGCATGGAAATTCCTGTCGCACGGAATCGAAAGCTCCGATATCGTTTGCACCCCCGAGACACCGCTGAGTCTTTTTCACCCGTTGGGCATTTATTTCCGATACGTTCCATCGCATTACTTTTACTTCGTAATTGTACTTCCAGTTGTTTTAACCCGTAATTGATACACCTGGATCCTAGGGAACCGAGAGGAATTATTTTTCTCCGCTGCAGAGAAATTGGCTGTAGCTGTAGTCTCCATTATTTCTGTATCGCTGATACAACCTTTTTTTAATATTAGGACCGTTTTATTTATTCTTTTCAACAAAAATTATATTTAGTATGCAGGGAGTATGTAAATATGTGCGCGTACATAGGTGTGCGGTGCGCGTAGAGCGTCGCTCGGGAGTCGAGCAGCTCGCCCCGGAAGTTGGACTTGTAAATTATAACTGCATATATCATGGAAGCCAAACCTCGCGTTGCAAAGTGGTTGCAGAATTTTCGATTTCTCCTGGCGCAAGGAATTTGCATGTCTCGGTTTGTCCGATCGTCTTGGGACACCCGGTAGGCGGGAGCATTCCGGGAGTACGCTGTTTAACCCTCGCAGGGAGAAATTCGAATTTCCGGCTGCTTCCGAACTGCAGCGAAACTCTGGCAACCTGATGCTTTTAATATTCAGTTGTTTACTTATGCACGATACAGGGAATTCGAATATGGACAACCCGTGGCATACAGCAACCGTGTACATCCTCGGGCGATTCAGAATGGATCGCGGATAGAAGGAAAGCGGTTGTTCTTTGTTTAGAAATTTAGATAATTTTTTAAAAGAATAGCTCGCTCGTAATACAAAATCATTTTTTATTGGGGACGTGATACAAAGTGATGAAAAATACAGATTGTTTTTCTCTCTCGCGAAATATTCCCGGAACGGTCAGAAATATCGACAAAATTGCGAAACAAAAGTCACCCCTTCTTTTTCGCGTCTGCAAAGCTGTTCGCTGATAATTATTGAAAAAAGAAAAACAGTACGGCTCGAAACGTATGAATTTTTCGATAATTATTCGAACGCAGTTTTGCGGGCATAAAGGAGGGATGCAACTTTTATTTAAATTATTTATCGATATTTCTCGCCCGTTCTGAAAATATTCCACGAGAGAGAAAAATCTGCTTTTCTTTCAAGGGGTGATTTCACCCGTTCAAACGTTATTATGTTACCGATGGGAAACAGTTTTGTTTCACGGACGAGTTACTCTACCGGTGCACAGTGTTTCAAAATTTTCTGATTCTATTCAAACGTCCTTTGTGATTCCATCATAGAGAATTTCTTTTTTAGTTAATAGATATCTACTAATTTTCTCGCTAGAGCACCATCGTGTTCTTTTAAACATACAATATCATCACACTCGTGTTAAACAAGAATTTGAAATTATATTCTGCGAATTCGAGTCGAGATTTTATCTTCCAGAGAGGTTGGGTATCCTTTTCCCCCGGTTCGTGTTCCAGCGTCGAAAACATGGACGCAAAAAAATAGAAAATGGCGGGAAACGTGGTCTCCAATCTCGTATTAAAATCTGAAATTACTCGCGTGTCCGTGTTTCTCGCAGAAAAATACCAAGGAACGCTTTTTTTTCGTTCCATCGAGAGAATGACGCGGAAGGCGGATCGATCGGGTCGAGGATTTGAACGATGCCGCGTAAATCGGATATTCCGGTCGCTTTGCGTGTCGCAAATTGTGCATTTTAATGACGCACGCGTGTACGGAAATAAAATGTCGGAAACGAACTCTCGTCGTAGTGACCCGAACGAAAGTAGGAGGGAGTCTATCGATTGTCGGACGCCAGAAAATTGAGAGACTCGTTCCCGGGAAAGGGGGTGGGGGGGAAAAAAAAAAAAAGAATTCCGATCCGTGATTCTGTCAGTCGGCGTCGCATTCCGCGAGTTCATTCGTTTCGGTGGGCCGTACGGGAGCTTAATTTATGATGGGCTCCCGACGCGACCGGTATTAAAATCCATAATGAATGAGCAAAATGAATTACGCGCGCGCCTCGCGTCTAGTCGGTCGAGAGCGCCGCGCAACACTCGCTCAAATATGATTTTCGTTGCACGCCGGCTCCGGGGCCATTTTGAATGGATAATGTTCCCTTCAAGTAGGGAAATTAGTCTCCAAGAGCACGAAATACTACAAGGCATTATCATTTTATGCAGTCCTCGCCGGATACACCGCGAAACGTTCCCAAAGGTTTCCAAACTTTTTCGGAAAACCATCCCCTAAACAGAAAATTGATGGAAATTTATTTACGAGGAGTTGCATTATCAGCTTACGTACGTCGCTATCCTCGCGTGGACGTTCGGTAGAAAAATCCGTTAAAATTAAGATCACCCTGCGTTAACGCAAATTCACACGTGTAGTTCGTTCGCCGGAAAGTTACGGTCGAAATATTTCGAAAACTAGGGAAACTTTTAATACGAGAGGCTCTCGGTCCCAGAGTAGACATGTTTATTTTTTAGTTTTGAAGTGTCTCGAAAGTTTTTAATTATACGAAAACAAAACGATCGCTTAAACAATCCCTGTACTCGAAGTTGAATACAAGGTTCGGTGTTGAATTCGTTCAAGATCCGCTCAAAGCGACGTACGAGCCGAACAGAAAAAGAAACTCTGTCGCATTAAAGAAGTTGGACGGTAAAGCCTGGCGGCCATATTGCCTCGACTCGGCGTTAAGAAAAGTTTGTACGGTTTTGCTGGGTTTACCGATAAAGCAAAGTAATTGATGTGGCAAGTCGTTGGTTTTCGTTCTATTCATCGTACTTCGCGTCAGCCGGACGTAAGAAAATTTTCAATCGAGTCTGCTGCGTTTATCATTTCCAAAAACACAGCGTACAATTTTCACAATTTTTCCATTCGCGTGTACAAACGATACGCTCTGTATATCGTAGCAGCATCGGTCCGCGCATTGTTGGCACGCTTTTTTTCACAGCGACAAAGGCCTCTCTCCGTGCGTTAATACCGCGTTTTTCCGGCGACCGACGGTTTTTTTTCCATCGACGGAAGGAACGATTTTCGCCGCGTCCCGATCGAATCGTCCGCTAAATATTCTATCGTCGAAAGATTCACCGTCGAGGGGATTTCGGGATCCGTCAGCCGCCGGATGCGTCGATCGTTTTCACGAGGATTTCCGCCTTGGTCGTTTTCTGTCTCGCGACCGTTGAAAAGCATCCAACAGCTTTCGTCGAAAGAAAAATCTATTAGCAACTTGACGTGCTTTCCCTCCCACGCTCCGTGATCCGATTAATCGTCTATTTTACGCTCGACGGGGCGATAGAATCGTCTTCGGACTCCGCCCCGTTCCGCTTTCGTTACGTTTTTAATTAGACGCGAGTGTTTACGGACGTTGGTAATGTAAAATTATATCCGGAACGGACGGTACTCACGGCCAGAAAACGTTTCTCGAGGTTCGCCGGAGGTTTAATCAGTCGGATGCTCGGGAGGGAGCGCAAAGGATGTCGTCGCGATTACTGCAGCCACGAATGATCTTTTGTTCGCGACAAATGAAATTGGACGGCTGCTGTTTAGCGTGGCTAAGAAATTGCGATTAATTCTTAACGAGTTACACCTGTTACCGAGGACGAGAGACTTTTCTTGCCTTTTATCTTCGAGGCATCTTTCCGTAATTGAACGATACAAAATCCACCGAAATTCGAAACGTAAAAATTGTTTTCAGCGACCGTGAAACGTCAAAGCTGTCCGCTTCCGCAAAGGGTTAATGAATCGTTGGAGACGTTAAAAAAAAAACAAAAAAAAAAGAGGATCTCGTGCCAACGTTGTTTTGCCTGTAAATCGATGGGATGAAATATTTGATTACGCGGTGGAAAAATATCGCGAAATAATAGCGAGAGGGGGTAGCCAAAGCGCAGACAGGGCGCAATCATTCGGGGTATTACGTGTTCTGTTTTTCACCGATTGGCGGTTTGACCGAGATATGGCCGTGCCTCCATCAAACTACATTTCATCGTGTCTGTCTTGCAGAATTCGAGTTGCTGGCAGAGGGCTTGGTCGACGAGCCGGGGCTACAGCGAACCGGTGAGTTTTCTCTACCCCTTTAATGCGATTATAAATTGTAAACGGCTGCAAGGAACGAGCGGCTTTCTCCCATTCAACCTTCTGTCTCTTTTTTTCGTTCGCCGGTTCGTTATATCGCTCTCGGGGTACGCCGCGACGGGCTACGAGGCACTTAATTTTCGAGGCTGCATTTACAGAGCAGCGGAACGTCGAAACTACCGGTAATTAACGCGTGGCTCGACTCCCCTCGCTTTCGGATCGAAATCTGATCGTTCGTAGACCGTCGTTTTTCCCGGACGTTTTGCATTTTAAAAGAGTGGAGCGTCGATTATCAGGAATAATAGGCGGACAAAGCGTTCTCGATAAACGAATCTTTCGATAATCGATGCCGGAGAAATATACATGGGAAATGGTTTTAATCTGCCAGAGGAGAATGTGAACGTTACTTTCCACGGGTGATCCTCTCCTGTTACCCAAATATATGAAATAAAATAGGATGCAAACTGCAAGAATTTCTGTTGCGTTCGTTGAAAGATTTCGAAGAATCGAGCTAAGAATTTGCAAGAGCGATAGCAATCATCGGTGGAAAATTGTGTCGAGGAGAGTGGATGATTGAATAATTCCATTATCTCAAGTATCGAGGAGGCAGATAGCCGTTATCGGGCGAGATTTACTTCATTAGAGGGACGAATTCATAATTTCAATAGAGCCTCTTTCATTCAGAATCGGAATGAAAGGACATCTTCTGTTCCATCGGATCCGATCCGTAATTCCTCGACGTTGAAATAAAATTAGATATAAAAAAATGTATAGGCCGTCGATGGTTCGTTATTGAAACGAATAATGCGTCGTCGGGAACCTTTATCGATCCTTTAAAAACAGATATTTTTAGGTAGCATTATTTTTAAAAAATTGGGTACGTTCCGGAGCTTACAAAGTTTGATCTACTTTCGAAAATCGGTAATTGGAATAACGAATTCAAGCCTCATTTTAATAGTTATTTAATAACGTTTTCGACCGATCGCTGTCCTCTTCCGTTCCTGGTTTCTTTCGCGAAGGACACGGAGAATTCGGGAAAGGTTGGCGTTCCTCCTCACAGACGAGTTCACCGTAATTTTCAACTATTCACTCGCTCGCTTTTACGTCTCCGTAACCTCTTCGCGTTGCGATAGAAAAACTCGTTTCCGTGGCGGGTAAAAGGCGCGGCGAGCAAAGACAACCTTCGTACCTCGAGGTTCGTCGGCCGTTTCGATCCCGAAGTGCCTTCCGTTTCCTTCCACCGTTTACATTCTTTAACTTCTCCCGGGGAATTCATCCTTTTACAGAAACAAAGCTCGCAGATTCTAAACTCAATAGTTTAGAGATACGGCTGCCTCGTATTCCGCAGTCCCTTTACGTCCCCGTCCGTTCGACGTCGCTTCCGTTTGATCAAGTATGTCAAACATGCGATCCGATCCACTAAACTCCGCGATCTCTATCTTCCTGTTCGTTTCGTTCCCTTTTATCGGACGTTGGTCTTCGTGTTTGTTTCCTTTCAGGGTTGAAAGTAACGTTCGTTGTAAATTTTAGTTCGATGAACAATTTGTATTCTATATTGTCTACGAAGAACCTTATTTTCGGTTGTGAAACGATATCGAGATCATCTTGTACAGTCCACGGTTCACTCGAGCGCGCGTACTTGACGAGCATTCGACATCGATTTATCCCGAAGCTGAGCTTCGTTCGAACAAAAAATTCGCGTTTCGGGCTCTGTTCGCTCGTATCGCCGGTTAAGAGACACCCTATATATTTTTACCGCATCGGTCTCATTTTACGCGCGGGCAAGGGTTCTCCGCGTCGCGATGAATGCAAGCATCGGTGGCACAAGGGGGTGGTGGGGAAAAAAATCGTCGGGTTGACGGAGAGGTTAATTGAAATCAACCCGTATTGCCAGGATGTTCTTTCGGCGCAAACTGGCGTGCTTTCGCGGTGAAAAGAAAAAATGAGGGTCGTTTAGACGCGGACAAAGCCCGGCGCGATGTATCATCGTCGATGCTCGAATTTCCCGCCCACGAATCGGCCCGGAGCTCCAACTATTTCCACGATTTCATCGACGAGTTTCCCGCGTTCCGTCGGTTCGACGAATTTAATCGAACAACTCGTAGGCGACCAACGAATTAGCGGGCAAAAAAAAAGGTTCCTTTTACGGCACGACTCTGCTTCAGCGCAAGTAGAAAACAAGATCGATGGTCAGACATATTTTTAGATTCAATTATCTCGAGAACGAAGGCACCGATGGCGCTTCGTTTCTTCGCATAATTTGATTAAAATCCGGACTTCCGTGTTCATTGTCAGCCATGTTCGAGGGAATTCAGAATCCATCTGTTTCGCAGCACGGAACCCCCCGGGCGCGTTTGAGACGCGAACGATTGACACGCTTCGGAGTTTGCGGCAACTCCTATTCTCCTCCGCATTATTGGTTCGCCCGTCTCTTCTTTGCATTCATCGAACCGAGGGAAATCCACGGGACGGAAGGCTCGTCGATATTGGCCCCCTTTCTTATTTATTTATCGCGAAACGGGTCTCCCCTCGGAGTCTTTGTCGGTTTCGGTTCGTCGTTGCATTCCCCGCGTCTCGCTCTCGTTCGCCCCCGAGTCTCTTCTTCCGCCATTTCTTCTTTGTCGCTCTGGCGGCCGGTAATACGGGTGATATATTAAAGTTGAACTGCATTGTATCGAATATACGCGTGGAAGGGTGGGGAACGATCGGTTGATCCGGACCAGGCGACGTGAAAAGCTTCGGAATGCATATACCTCGACGCTCGTGCGCCGAGGGGGGTGAAAGGATGATGGCCTCGATCGTTTTACAGAAAGATGCATCTTGACACGAATGCCATAAACGCTTTTCACCTCGCTTCCGATTCTTTCCGTGACGTTCGCGAAATTCATTCGTCGATGGATCCGCGATCTTGCCGTAATGCCGTCGACGCGATTCGTCTCGTCACTTTTCACGATGCCCGTCTCAATTCTTGGCTCACCTGTACTCGATAGATACCCCGTAAGTGGCGAGTTTCGTACCGTAATTTAATTTTATTTCATTTCGTCCAAATTTGTCTTCGACGCGAGAAACAATCGTTCGAGACAGGATTCGAGATTTGTAAATTAGGGTTGGCCAGAGATTAGCCTGACCCTACGCCCTTCCGTCCCGAGATATCTCGAAAGAGTCTTCCGGTGGATTTTCGTCGAAGAATATTCCCGAAGGCGGATCAAATGGCGAGTTTACGCATCGGTGTCCCTCTTTGACGTGGTTAACAATGTCGTTTGCGTCCCCCCTGGACGACGGAAGTCGAGGATCGCGCGATAGAAATCGCTCGAGATAACCTCGTCGCCGGTTCGGACTTAATTTAACGACTCGTTCAGCGATTTCGAGCGATATTCACGGGTAAAGATCCTCGGATTCAGTTGGCGGAGCGAACAGTTAAAACGGCACTCGAGCGACTTTCCCCGTCGACGAGCCTCCGCGTTTACATCTCGATCCCCTTTTCCTTCGTCGTTTCGCTACGCGGAAGCGCACGGCCGTTGTAGATAAAGCGAACTTTATATATGTATACGAAAACCACGGTATAAAATACGGAAGCGAGCTCCCTCTCGTTCCCCACCCGCGTCTCTTCTCGTCCGTTCATATTTTACAACCCCCCCTCCCGGCTCTCTAACGTCGTCGAGGGCGTCTCTTACGGAGTTGGCAGCGACGCACTTGTGCCAGGTCGTTAGCGACGGCGAAGTCTTATCGTTTAGTTTATTCCGCCGTTGCTAATATTCTCGTCCTCGAAGAAAGGAAACATCGGCGGAGGGGGTGGGAAAAAATTCGGCGAAGAAAAAGCGATAAGTGAATCTTAATTCCGCCATCCACCGCGCTGCTCCGTAGCAATCTTCTCCGGGAACGTTGCGTCGGATCGACCGTTATTGCTCCGGGTATTCCAGACTATCAACGGAGATAGGATGAATCGGGAATGCAATAGGGCGTCCCAGGAAACCATGCCCTTTAACGAACATTCAGTAAACGTTGTTCTCCGTTCATATTAAGTACATTAGGCTGACGTCTTTCTACCAAGGATCGTTTATTTTGATAATGCGTCTTGGTTGTAAATGATTCGAATTATAGGATAATGTATGTATATACTTCGAATTGCACGAAACGTTGCTCAAGACTGTATGTTAAAGGAAATAAATTTCTAACGGATACAACACCCCCAGTGTCTATTTCTGCCGGACGAAACTCGTAGAAGACGCGGTTTCGGGGTTCCTTAAACGGTAGTTTCCACGGGGATGAACCCCGCGGCAAACTTGATATAAAATACCAGATATTCGCGGGAAATATTTCTGTGGATGCGGGGTATGCGAGAACTCTGGCGTTATTCCCGGCACGTCTGCCGTATGCACATATTGCATTTCTGCGTAGGGGAGAGACGAGTGCGCTCGTACCGGCTGGGGGATGACGCAGGAAAGGGGCGCGGAATGGGGCTCTTTTCGAGCTAAGTGCAGCCAACCCTCGAACCGCGTGTCTCGTTTGCCCGTTTTCTAGCGTCGTGTTCGAATCGGTGAACTTTCTCCCACTCTCTCTCTCTCTCTCTCGCTGGAATCTTGACAGAAATTACATCGTTTTCGAGGATCGATCGACGACGTTGCGCAAAAACAATTCCGTTTTAACGTCACGTTCGTTGATACAAGCCTCCCGGAATTGAAGTCGAAACGCGCGGTGTTTTCGTCGCTTTCATTCGACGATAAGAGATCCGCAAACTCTTGGGAAACTTTTCTCCAAGCTGGACGAGTATTCAGCCGAACGAGTACAAAGCGCTGTTCCCTTAAGGAGGGTATTCTCATCGGCGAGCGGGAAAAGAAGGTGTTCTCGGGGAATATCGCGCGAGGGAAAGCACGAGAGCGGATAATTTTAAATTTTAATATAAGATCGCCGAGCGCATTGCATTTCGACGTTTCTTAAACACGAAGACGCGAATCGCTCCCGAGATTCCACAGCGAGCTTTT